ATATTGCAATCGTTCCCCACATTACGAAGCAAATAAGACCGGTCTTGATATGATAGCTTGCTCGACGTCGGTAATCAAATTTAACTAACCTTTTACTTCATCCACATGTAAATTATCTCAAGAATCTCAATGCTACCTCAACATGACTAACGCTTATGTAATAGAAAACAATACCAAGGTATAGAGACTTCGAAAAGTAAAATCACTCAAGGAAACCTTCTTCAATAAGGTATTTATTACCAGCGTGATAGTCATAGGTAAAATTTCTATCCTCCCGCCGGACGAACAACCACAGGTAACACGCGTAGTAGCAACAAGACCGGACTGTACGGGGAACGTGTACTTGATCCTGCTGAATATTTAAAACACTGAAAGTAAGAATGAGCGATATTAAAACCCATGCCTGATACTAGACGCTCAGACCCGGTCGATTTTGTTTTCGAGAGGGACACAAGTTTGGCACGTGTAGCCCCCTAAGCGGGGGTGACACCACCCCCAAAATCTTAAATGGAAAGGGGCGTCGAGTTATACCTTATTTTAAAGGTCTTTCAATTCCCTTTATAATGACAAAATTAATGTACTTCAGTTCAGTAGTTTTGAAGATGTATTGATTTAAAGCTTAAATAAAACTAATACATCATCACTAGTGGAGATCAATACATTTGGCAGCAAAGTAATTTAAAAATGAAGAATGAACTGACCCGTTAGGCAAGTAAATGTTGAAAATGGCCACCATGACTAGCATGCAATAATAAAGATTTTGCTCAAAACGTTGCCGCATATTTTGCAATATTTGAGGAGTAATTTGAAAGCACTCATTCACAATTCTTTATCGCAGGTCTTCTAATGATGTTGGCTGAGTAGCATAGATTTTTCTTTTTAAATGACCGCACATAAAGAAATCCAAAGGTGATAAATCTGGCGATCTTGGGGGCCATTCAATGGCACCTCTTCTACCAATCCAGCGATCTGGAAACGTCTGATCTAAATATTGTCGAACACGTAATGCGTAATGTGGTGGGGCACCATCCTGTTGGAACATCAACCTATTCGCAATGTACCGCCGATCATTCTGATTTTCAATTATGGCTGTTAATGCAGGATCTATGGCGTCTTCCAGTAATTCCAAATACATTTCACCGGTCAAATTTCCAGGTAAGAAAAGGGGACCAACTAAATGATCGTCAAAAATACCAGCCCAAACATTTAATTTTTGTGGCTGCTGTGTATGAACCTTATGATAAATTCTGGGATTAGAATCGGACCAATATCGGCAGTTATGACGATTTACTACACCATTCAAGAAAAAGGTACAAGTGTTGAATAGAAAATGTTCATCGTTTATAATTCGTTCACTCATATCTTCACAAAATTGTAATCACCGATCAAAGTCGTATTCATTAAGTTCTTGTACCAGGTGAATTTTGTACGGATGAAAACTATGGGCCTTTAGAATCCGTTGGGCATTACGTCGACTAACACCACACATAGTCTCCAATTTGCGGGTACTTAACGTAGGATCTACATAAACTTGCCCTAAAACCCCCACTTCTATTGCTTCGTTCCTTATGGGATTTTCAATGTTGCGTTTTTTATTGGCGACTGACCCAATTTCCCAAAATTTAGCTACAAGTTCTAGAACATATACTAAGTGACATATAAATCCGAACACCCAGTTTAAATGGTTTTATTTTAATAAAATTTTGTATAAGTACTTAATGAAGCATAATAAGTAAATGATAAAAATTTCAAAACGATTGCACTGCCTTAAAGCCCTTTGACCTTTAATAATGTGTGGATGCACCCTGATGCGCTACGCATTCTCCAACGCGCCTAGGCATGCTTCTGATCAGGTGATCAATGTCCTGTTGTGGTATCTCATTCCAGGCAACCACCAACTCCTCTCGAAGTATTTCTAGAGTCTGAGGAGGACGTTGCAAACTGAGCAATCTCCTACCCATCATATCCCACACGTGCTCAATTGGGGATAAGTCGGGAGATATTGGTGGCCATGGTAACAATGTGACATCATTATGTTGAAAGAAGTCTCTTGTGACTCTTGCAACATGTGGTCGGGCATTATCTTGGTGGAAAGTTGGATCTGCCAGGGTGTCAAGATAGGGTAAAAGATGGGGTTCTAGAACTTCGTGGATATAACGCTGCGCGTTCATGTTACCTCTGATGAAGATTAAAGGTGACCTGGAACCATAAGCTATAGCACCCCAAACCATAACTCCAACACTGTGATGAACATGTCTTTCAACAAAAAACTGTGGATTCCTCCTTTCCCACGTCGCCTTCTAACCCTGGCACGACCATCGTGCATGCCTAAACAAAATCGAGACTCGTCACTAAGGACAATACTGTTCCATTCCTGATCTCAGAGTGACCGTTGTCTGCACCACTCAAGGCGATTACGTCGGTGTTCTTGAGTTAAAGGGAGGACCCAGTGTGGCCGGTATGAAAACAAGCCAAAACTTCTCATTCGTCGATAAACACTTCGCATGCCAATAGGTCTTCCGTGTTCTGAAAACCATTCATTTGCAATGGACCTGGTAGTGGAGAAACGGTCCCTTAAAGCCAATAATCTTAGGCGGCGATCTTCACGGTCTGTTGTTCTACGGCGGCGTCCAGTGCTCCTTGCTTTTTGCGTACGGCCTTCTCGAAGCCATGCCTGACAACACCTAACCACAGTGTCTACACTTCTTTGCACTCTAACTGCAATTGCCCGAAAAGAAAGTCCAGCTTCCCGAAGTCCCACTATACGGCCCCTATCAAACTCACTAAGTTGACGAAATCGTACAGGTCTCCGTACTCTAGGCATCGTAACCGATCGTAAAGGATGTCAAGAACCAAAATCCGCCAACGTTGATTCTTTACTGCGGCTGGAATATTCATTTTTAGAGCGTTACTGAATTTAAAAAAAGCAGTATAAAAACCGGAATGTCCAACTGATAAGGCTGAAAATTTTTTCACTTGTTATTTACAGTAAGATAAATACATTCACCAACTTTTATTAAAATAAAACCATTTAAACTGGGTGATCGGATTTATATGTCACTTAGTATACCTAGTATACCTGTATATGCCATTTGCATGGTCTTATCGTTTTACCAAAGATTCAATTGGCTATGCAATTTCGTTACCAGAGACGAAAAATGGGTTATCATATTAACCATGCACGCAAGCATTTGTGGCTGGTCCCACCAAGAATGGTGAACTGTACAAGGGTTATCCAGAAAAGAGCATGCGCTCATGTCATCTATTAGAAGTAGTGTGTTAGCCCTGCCATGGTACATGTTGACATTGATGTTCGCAGTTATTCAGTACATGTGGAGCCAAGTGAGGTCTCGGAAGGTGCAACACTGAAAAACTAGTAACGCTTCTTGCACTCAAGACGACTGGCAGCAGTGTCAATATTAACAGAACCAGTTGTCATTGTGTCAATTACCTCCATTACCTCTGCTGTTGAAGTATGTAAATAATGTAGAGTTGGACAAAAAACAGCTAGAATTTGATAGAATTAATTGAATATTGTACTGCTCTAGCTTTTGCATGTTTGCCTAATATATTTACTCTAAAAGCCAATCCTTCAAGTTTTGGCCTCTTCTACTAACCGCCAACGGCATAGACTGAACCAACTAATCAACGCTTTGCGCAAAAATCTACATCCAACACGTCTAAAGCGCTGCTTGGAAATGTTTGAGTTTCAAATGAAAAAACTGTAAAATCTGAAGTGCTACAAGACGCAACAGTACCATTTACACATGTATACTAATTTGGATCTGCATTAAGTGATCTTTCCTTCCTAACAAGGGGCTTGATTATAATATATTTTTATATTTACATGAATGAATGGAATTCCCAATTTTCGTTTCTCAGACGAACGTCAACAAGCGGCTAGATGAGTACAGTTATCCAAAACTTGTAGGTACTCAAAAGAAAATAGCCCCATAAACAGAAATATTTGTTGGGTCGGATTATTAAATTACTGATGCATTACAGACAACTTTATTCATCTAATTTCATTATTCAGTTTTTTAATAGTTCAAATTTGAGACAGTATTATGGTAAGGAGTTCTGCCTAATATACAAATTTGAAACGTCTTGCCAAAAATTCTAAATCTGTTTGACATCCCCTTTAATTAAAAGTTGATACATGAAATATGCAAAGTTGAAATTTGGGACTTGATTCATTTGTGGCTGTAAGAGTCTTTACTTTATGTTTACCATCTAATTATCATCTTCCGCATCTAGCCGTAATGTTGTGGTTGAATCTCTTAGAAATTGAAGTAATCGTTGCATTGATTTTGCCAGTGAAGTGAGACAGTCAAACAGACATGAGCCTGTAAGCTCTGACACTAGATTCACTTGTGAAAATCTCATTAAATTTAAACTAAGACTTAGTAAAATAAACGGGCAATAAAGTAAGTGGGCTGAGGTGAGGTGAGCTTATCTAAGATTCTGTGTGAATTGAACGTGACTAATATTATCTTACAGATGAGAGTAAAAGCTGGGGTCATCTGTACTTTCATAGGGTCATGCATTTTCCATGAAATTACAGAAGCCCTATCGTATTTTTGTCTTTAGTAGAGTCAAGTCAAACTTACATATGATGATAATTATTACATATATTATAGAAAACCCATCCTAGGCTGTCTTGTTGTCAATTAATACTTTATTGTAATATATCACATCTGAGGTAAAAATTTTGAATGCTGAGACCAAACAGCAGTCAATGCAATGGGGACATATCGCCTGTCCAAGCTCCTCAAATTTTGTTACCAAATAAAGTCATAGTACTGTTGCTAAGGGCATCTTACTCGTTGATTTTATGGAACGTGGTACGGCCATCACTTCTGCAACCTGCTGTAAAACTTTGTGGACTGAAAATAAACATTCAGAACAAGTGTTGTTGCCTTCTTACATGCGGTGTTGTGTTGTGGGACGTTTTTGATCATCCCCCATACAGCCCAGACTTAGCTTCAAGTGACTTTCACCTGTTTGCATACATGAAACGGTGGCCCGCATCCTAGCGGTTCGCCGATGACGAAGAGTCTCAAAAGGTCGTTGGCTACATTCACAGTCGGCAGATATGTCCGCAGAGAACATCTCAAAACCTGTGAACAAAATGTGAAAAGTGCTTGAATTTGTTTGGCGACTCTGTGCAAATAGAGAAAAGCTTTAGCTTTGAAATGTATGTAATACATTTTTTGCAACTTCACTGGTTTACTTTTTTATTTCAGAGCAATATACTGGAAACTTCTTCCTACTACCACGATTTATGCGACACTATACTTAATTACCAAACTTGAACCCCGTCGGAAACATTCACAATATGTCTAACCTCATATTGGGACAAAAGCTACTGGAAAATAGTGCGACACCCTCCATACTCGCCGGACTTAGCCCCAATGAATTTTCAGTTCATTGCAATAACTCAATCGAGGATAATGATGGTAAACATGTTATTAATAAACAAAATCTTAAAGTTATGTGTGATGCTCATTATTTTATTAGCCAACCCGATAATACCTTCACATATCCGAATTATAGATATTTATACATACGTATAATATAAATTTTAATGAAATACTCTCTGGTCGCAAGATATCCATCGTAATTGACGAATTCTCCTCTTCATCCCACAACGTCAACGCTGGTGTCTTGGCTCCCACATTGTTCCTCTTGCATATCATCGATCTCTTTTCCTGTACGATCAATCCAATCGACAGCTTTGCTGATGACAGCACTCTACGTGCAGGAATTTGAAGCGGCCAGGCGATCGCTGTCGGTGAGCTGAAAAAAGAAGACTAGCTATGACTTGCTTTCTGATGAGAGACATGGATTATCTCTGCTTGGGGACACAACAATCTCATACAGTTTGATGCTTCCGAAACTCAGTAATGTACCTTGATGAACAAAAAGCGTCTTAGCGCTTATCCGGTGTCGATGGATGGCCGAGTTTTGCCCAAGAGACATTCATTTCAGCTGGTCGGAATATAGATCTCCAGAGAGTTGATCTGGCACATACACATCCCGTCAATACTGGCAGCTGCTGGGAATAAGCTAGACTGTTTGTTAAGGGCAAAAAGTAGTTTTCTCCACATGACCTCCTCACTCTATACAAGGCACAGATAAACACCTAGCCTCGACCTTGCTCACGTGTTTGGGGCGCTACGCGACTAAATTATTCGTGCTCGATGCTGTCCAAAGGATCAACAAAATTTCCTTGGGATCCCCATAGCAGCCGCGGTGTCCTAGCACTTAGGCTTCTGGCTGCGCGGCTGCTTCGATGTAAAAAAAAACAAGTAACACCTTGAAGGAGCTTCAATATTCCAAAAGCTAGATATCTTTTTCGCGGCGACAGGCTATCTTGGCAAAGAGATTGCTACAGCCCCCGAAAGAAAGTGATCATACTACTTGTAGTCTATATACCTTGATAATACTAATAGCTTTTCTTCAGTATGTGCTTTCGTGATCTCTGCGCGATATTTTTCATATTTGTAACTTAATACACGCTGTCAAGATAGCAAAGAGGTTGCATGTACTTAACAATAAATCTATATAATTGCAAACGTTTATTCTTTTTGTACCGTCTATTGTTTCAGCTTTCACTTTTTACAACGCATTATTAATGCTTTTGTTCTTCATGGATTACAAAAGACTGGTAGGTCTGTCATCGTCAAGGTGTCTACGGGTCAAAAGCATGATATACTAAATTGATTCATCAGGTCTGTTAGACAATTAGAACATCATCTGAAAGTTCATGGAAGCATTATTAATATTTGGTCATAAAAACTGAATTTTCATACCTTTACAGCTCTGAAACAATTTTAAACTGCCCATAGATGGGGCATCATGAACCCATTTCATGTTGAATCAAACAAACTAGCGAAAAAATCGACCCCGCATTAGAACAAGGTGTAATAACCAGTTCTACAGTGGAATTATATTCGTGAGTTTATAAGAAAAGGGCGCTCATCGAGAGATAAAAAAATGCTGGGTAACTTTTTTTTACTGGTGTTAAGTGGTCCAGAAAAGTTTTTGGGGGAGGACAATACCTTTAAAACTATACACTGCCAATTTGCTGTAACTATTTACTTTTTCACTGGAAATTGCATAACGATTAATTTAAAAGAATATCCTCTGTAATGCTTTCGGCTTTTATTTTTGTAATTATTATATATATTCTGAATCACTCAAATGGCCTAAGATTGGGCTAGTTCTCTTGATAAAGACTTAGTTTAACATCTTATTGACAGGGCCATTAGATTTTATCATACTACCAATATAAAAAAACGACGCCAATGAGCAGTGTGGTCAGCATCATGTCGTGAAATTTTTGACATTGACAATAATTGACATTCCCAGCTTTGCAACGTTGCCGCTTATTGCTTATGTGATAATACATTTACTTATAATTACTTAGAGGACTAATAATTAAATGTAAACAATCATAAGACAATCATGCAATGGAGAAAACCACTAACGAAGGAATATTTTAGATTTTATTTATCATTGAAATAAAGTCAGGCGGACAAGCCGAACCAAATGATAGAGTTTCACATCCGCAATTATCTTGTCAGCGCTTAGAGTTTTGACTTTTTTACCACATAACGTAAAATACACAACAGAAATGGATCAAGCAAGGCTCCAGTTTCAACCTCCTGGAGACAATTGACGTTTGCCCCGCTGTTGATTGGTTTCGGCTAATATGTTAGGTTTAAAATTATAAACGATTATAACGATAAACTCCTTTATTCGGCGATCTTGGAGTGATCTTAAGCTCAGTTGTCCTTGGATACTATATCCTGTTATTTAATGCATTTGTCATTTTATATTTTGATCACCGTTTGCCTTCATACAGCTGATATGCTGAAATCCATATTTCACCACTAAGGAATTCCCAAGACAATCGCTTTTCTCCCGTTAATTTTTAGGCAAAAGACCCTCGATCTACCCCAACGAGCAACAAGTCAGTCAGCATCATAATGCTGATACTTTCAGGTATTATCAGTATCAGATCCAACATCAGTACTATTGTTGGATATGGAGAGGTTACACAGGAGACTCAGTTATAAGGTGCTGTGTTAAAGCAATAGTGACAGGTAGGCAATTTAGCACCATTGATAGCAGTTGCTTTTTACAAGAATTTTATAACGAACATCTACTTTGTATGACATCAGTCTGTTGATGACCCTTGTTCTTGTCACCAGTATATAAAGTATATCAAACATTTGTTTATATTGACATGAGTCCTCGTATAACACTTGCTGGTATTGGTTAACATCATTAACACATAAGTTGTGTGAAACAGGTAAAGCAACATTTTGACCTCCTAAAGCAACAAATTTAAGGCATCGATATGTGTGTCAACACATTTAGGAAAACTACAGAACAACATCAAGATACATTATATTGTTTCAGAGTGCCAGGCAATTGAATGAGATCTGTAAAGAAAAGACCACAGTGATATTTGGTTGGTTTTTGGGTACTTAGGCCGTCGTTCGTTCGCACTCCTGACTCAGTAGCTCACATGAGTCCGAACTGTGAACACTTTCTGAAGATGCCAACCGCTCGTGTTGACAAAACGTCAAATAAAAATATTTTACGACGGCCTAACTAGCCAAAAAACAACCAAATAACATTGGATGATGGCCACGAAAGCCTTTCGCATTTCAAGGACCACAGTGTTCAGCACCAGGGTTTTGGGATACATATATCGATATCTTTATTATATTCTTATATAATTTAAACAGTGTTTGTGTCGTGTGTTAAAAATAAAATTCTTAAAATCACTACATACTATGTTCAAGTAGATGGATAAGATTTCATGTAAAGACATGCCTCTAACTGAATCATGATACCATTATTCTTTAATCTGTGAAAGTTATCTTCAATAGAGTACTAAATATTTAAGATGTGAATTCACACTGTAAGAGTAGCAAACATTTGTTAGATATTCTTTATTCACTATCTATTTGAATTGTCTTCAAGTAGAGCAGAGTATAGGATGATCAACATTGATAAGCTGATAGAAAGCACACATTATGGGGTCGGAACAATATTTTTATAAAAGAAATCACCATAGCGTTAGTCAGCAACATTAAGGATCGCAATTAAATACACGTCATAGAAAGCAGCTTAAAGTATATCGTATCATATCGCGATTACATACACCTTACAAGGGTGAATCTTTTCACAGCGAGTTCAAATGACGTCATGTTCTCTTGGAATAGTAGTTATGTTTGATTTCCTTGTGGTTCTCAATACGGACCTGAAGTAACTAAACAATAAGATTAGATTACCTTAAGGTCAAAGACTAACGTGGCGCATATAGTTTTTAATATTAAGTTATAAGATCAATAGACCATGAGATATCCAGCTCTGTAACCCAAAATAAACAAAATCCATAACAAAAATGGATGATCAGAATGATGTGTAAATAGTTCATTCCACGTTTGCTCGCTATGATCTCTGTGAGCGTCATCAGAAGCGTCCATGAAGGAATGACTCAACGACACGACAAGCTCAAGTATGCATTATTGGTTGCAGAAAGCCAAGTAGTATTTACGCCTGAGAAGATGTGCATTTTGGTCTGCATGTGTATAAGATCAGATATATTTGCTTTGTGCGAAAATTATTACTGAGTATGCTGCCAATGAAGTAGTAGCTATGTCCAACGGGTTATTTATATGTTGTCTTTTCTGAACTCAGGTTATATTCAAAGTTATAAATTACCGTTTTTTTTTGTGTTTTCCAAAACTTTGAGTCGAATTAGGGGAAATCGTCATCCGTATGCGCTGTATGGAATTACTGTTAGCATGTATATGACTTCTAATTCGACAGTGTAAAGTGAATATAGTTGCAAAATGTGGCAGTATGTGAAGTATAAAATATAAGGTTCCACATAAAGTTAATTACTTCATCAACCAGGGATTTTCTTTTCTTACCTCTAAATTTTTGAAATTCAGCAGATCTGCATATGTAATTTCCAAAATTCCTAGCTTTGAATACAACTAGAGTAAGCGTATTGAGGGCAAGAAACCAATGGAATTATCATTAGCACACAAATCCTCACTATACACCTATGCACTGCCGTCTCCTTCCAGCTACA